AATTATATGGCTTATAAATCCCGAGCTATTTACTAATTGCCCTTCACAAAAAAAGTCTGCTTACCAGTGTTCTAGTGAGAAAAACAGCCTGACAATTTTTTCAATATTTGCATTTTTTTCTTACAGCAGATGAGTTGAATTCAAAAATAGTTTACTCATTCATTCACTTATTCAACCAATATTTACTGGACACCTAGCACGCACCAGCATTGGTTTAGGCATTGACAGTGCAAGGATAAAGGAGACAGTCCCTACCCTTAAGGATATGTGAACTCTAGCCATAATCTCATGTAAATTATAAGAACCAGCTGTTGTTGGGCATGGTGCCCTACCTCTGTAATCCTAGCAACTGGGAGGCTGAGGCAGGAGGATTGCTGTGAGATCAAGGTCAGCCTGTGGGCTACATAGTAAGTTCAAGGCTGGTTTGAACTGCATAGTGAGAACCTGTCTCAACAAACAAACAAACACGCAGATGAAAACAACACTGAGATTCCACCTCACCCCACAAAAGAATGACTGCTAACAAGAAATCAAACAATAACAAATGTTGGCGGGGTTGCAGGGAGAAAGTAACCCTTCTCCATTGTTGGTGGGAGTGCAGACTAGTGCAACCACTGTGGAAATCAATATGGAGATACCCCAAAGAGCTGGGCCCAGCCATCCCTCTGCTGGGTATCTTTCCAAAAAATTTAAAAGAATAGGGCCGGGGATTTAGCTCAGTGGTTCGGTGGCCTGCCTTGCAAGCGCAAGGATCCAAGTTCAATCCCCAGTACAAAAAAAAAAGAATTGAAAGAATCATATCACAGTGATATATGTGCACCTATGTTTATAGTGGCACAGTTTGTAATAGCTAAAACTTGGAAACAGCCCATTTTCCCATCGGTTGGAATCTGGATAAAGAAGATGTGTTTTTTTTTATAAAATGGAATGAAATTAGATTCATTCACAGGAAAATGGATATATATTGAGGATATACTCCTAAGAGAAATAAATAAGTCACACATGTGTAAATACCGAATAGTTTCTCTGGTGTGAAAAACTAAAATAGTACATAAGATCCTAATGATATAATTGACAATGTAAAATAGGAAAATGGCTAAAGGTGTAGGGAAAGTGGGAAAGGTAATAAGGGAGAAGAAAAAATATGAGAAAATGAAAAAAAGGGAAATAAAGTTCGTAAATGGGGAAGGGAGGAGGAGGTGAAGGGAGGGCAGGGACAAGGGGAAAAAATGAGAACCAAGGCCTGTCATGTAAAGGTACAAGATCCCAATGATGAATGTAACTGCACTCTATATCTAAAATGTACCAATAAACTCAAACAAACAGCGTGACAAGTACTCTCACCAAGGTGTCTATAATTACACAGATTTTTTGGTGTGTGTGGTGCCTAAGCATGGAACCCAGGGCCTCACCCGTGCTAGACAAGCCCTCTACCACTGAGCTATATCCCCAGCCCCACTACATAAGAGGATTAATCAGGATTTAGTTCAGGAAGTGGTAATATTAGGCAAAAAAAAAAAAAAAAAAAAATTAATACAGGGACACAGGTGCTTACAGGATCTCCAGGAAGGCCAAAGAGCAGAAATCAATCAGGACAGTGCTGCAGGGCCATTGAGCTCCTGCTGCCGCCCTCCTGCCTCACCTCTTCAAACAGGGAGGGGAGGACACAGACCTCCCGTCTGCCAGGCTGCACTTGCCAGTGGACACAGCCCCGGGAAGGCAACTCTGCTTCCCCCGCCCTGCAAATCCCACAGGAATCCATCTACCCAACAGGACCTGCACCCCTGACTCCTGCCCACTGCTAGTGAGGCGGGGATGACATCGGCAGCTTCTTAGCCTGCTTTAATAGGACAGAATGGAAGTTAAGAACACGCATCCAAGAATCCAGCCCCCAGGTTCTGGGAGATTATTTAACAGTACAAATATTTGAGCTGCATCTCCAGGGCCAAGGAACAAAAGAACACAGGGCTTTCAGGGAAAAGCAATGGAGCACGTAAAGGCACACAGGGATACAAAGAGCTTGCTGCAATCCGCAGGTGTCTGCTGCGCTTCCCTGCCCCACACCCACCCCTTGGAGGAGCTGCACCTGGATCTCCCTTCAGGGAGCCACCATCCCCACCACCAGCCAGGCACTTCATGTGCAGATTATCTGGCCTTATCCGGCCTCAGGCTGCCCAGGGTGTGCATGGGACCAGGTTGATACAGTCCATCCTCTTCGTCACGGTGACTGAGGAAGACAAGTGACCAGAGCCAGGTCCGTGACATTTTGTTATAAAATCTCTTTCTTGGATAAATAACTCAGGAGTAGAACAGAAACCTGCAGCAGCTGAGAATAACGTCCAGGTGAATCTGATGAAACCAATCCAGATGAAAGCAGAACAAAGAGAGCAAGAGAAACCAAGTGGTGACCATATCACGTGAGCGCCTGGATCTGCCTACTCCTGAAACCAATAGCTCTGCTTCGGGCTATTAGGGTCACAGATTCTCTTTCTGCTTAAGCAGTTTCAGTTAAAAACCATGACAGACATTGTTAAGGGAGTAGTTAACTAGGACGAGGGCCTCTGTTACCAGGTTTTGGGGTGTTGGAGCCTCTTTCCAGACGTGATTTCTAGGTTTTCTATCCTGAACAAAGAACTGCTCGACAAGTGCACATGGTAATAAGGTTTCACATTTATTAAAGATAGGAAAAGAAACAGGCTCTGCAGAGCAAACTTGGACCAAGTAAAAGGAGTATGCGCTACAGGGGGCAGTGGACTGCAGTGAGAGAACACGGTAGAAAAGACCAGCGTCTCCCTGTCCCGTTTATATCACCCATTCCTTGGCTTGATGTCAGGTCCAGGCGCTGGAGAGAAAGCCACGCACAGGGCTTGGGAAACCTCTGCACAGGTGTCCTGGGATTTGGTCATGCCTACTTGCCCGGAAGTTCGCCACGCCTTCCTGGGATTTGGTAAATAACAGGTCACACCTACTTTCCCAGCCAGTCTTCTCCAAGCCTGGATCTCCTGCCTCACCACTGTACTCTCTAAGAGAGTTTCACTGAAAGCCGCCGCCACCTAGAAATCATCCGGATGCCTGACACCAGGTGACCGGACAGTGAACTGAGCTGGACGCATGCAGCGGAATACTATTCAGCTGTGACGATAAAAATAGCTTAGAACCTTAGGCACCAATAGGATGAACCTCACATACTGGTGAGCAAAAGAAACCAGACGTATATGCTGAGCACACCTTATGACACCGTTTGTATACACAAATACCAGTGAAGATGTCCTGTTTCTTGAACCGAGTCTTGGTTACCTGGCTATGTTTAGTTTGTAAAACTTCACGTGAACTCTACACTTGCAAGATGTATTTTTTCTGTGTTATGCTTATTAAAGTAAGTCGCCAGGGTGCAATTTCTTTTGGTTGTTGGCATACATCTCCCTGCCTGCTGACTTCACGCTCTGGTTTATGGCTGCCATTGCTCTGGTTTCACAACCTTTACTGTCTAAGCCAAGCATGGAGGAGAAAGTTATCTTCTCCAAAAGCAAAAAGGAAGCCTGGGGTTGACTCTCATTCTCACTGGCTGGTCCACCCATCTCCGAGCCAGTCGCTGTTGCCTTGGGAATTGTGTCAACCAGTGGGGCTGGCTCCCCTGACAAGACCGCAGGTGGCATTGGCATCAGCAAGCTCATAGGACTGTGTGGGCTGGGGGGAGTGGAGCAAGGACCTGGGGCCGTTGCAAATCAGATGAGCGAGTCTGGGTGACCCGAAAACTTCAATGAATGTTTGGTACCCGAGGGACATCACGACCATCACTGTTATCATCATCACCGTCATTTGTACCTAATTTGGTCCTTGATAAATACTGCATGAAAGAATCCATCTAACCAGGTATTACTCCCTAGGAGTGATCTTGTCAACCCTGGGGCCTTCCTGTCCAGGACAGGAAAGACAGATGGCAGAATTGTGAAAAGATATGTAAATCAGCCTTTTGATGGTAAAGACCCAATCCTCAATGGAATTGCAGCTCTCAAAGAAGCTTTGCGAACTCCTGTATAGCAGTTACACATCTCTTACCCTCCCCTCTCTCTTCAAAGGGGCTTTGTCACAGAGGACCAAGTCCTGGGAGTTTGATCACAGCAACAATAGGTGAAACAGGAAAACAGGAAGTAATGAAGGTCTTCGCTGCTTTGGGGAGTGTGAATTGGTAGAGTTGTCTTTTTTTTTTCTTTGTTACCTGGGATTGAACTCCGGTCCTTGCACTTGGGCAAGGCAGGCAACAGAACCACTGAGCTAAATCCCCCGCCCTGGTAGAGTTGTTTTGGAGACATTTAGAGACAGTGAAGCAGAGGATTCACATTCCTCTCCTGCTCTGCAAACCCACCTTGCACATATGAGCTCAGGAGAAACTCTGGTCTCCACACAGGAGACACAGAAGGCTGTCACTGCACTGTCCATTGCTGCAACCTAACAAATCATCTCAGCTGGGTGATGTCCAGGGGTAGCCACTCTCTTATGTCCACACACTTGGTGCCTCCGTTACTTTTTCTCTGGCTGCTGAGACAAAAATACCTGACACTCAAAGTTAAAGGGGAAAAGGTTTATTGAACTCACAGTTTGTACAGGTTTCAGTTCATCATTGGTGGCTCCAAGGCAGGGTGACCTAGCAGACAGGCATCTCAGAGAAGAAACAATTCATGGCGGGTAGCAGGTAGCAAAGCAAGCAAGGGGTCGGGATGGGGATTTAGCTCAGTGGTTCAGCTGCCTGCCTCACAAACCTAAGGTCCCCAGTTCGATTCCCAGCACCAAAAAACCCAAAAAACCAGAAACACAAAAAGAAAGCAAGGGGCCTTAGCCACTTTTTTCTGCCCCTTTTATATTCTGTCTAGGCTATTGGGACTAACTAGGGCAGTGCCAAAACTATCAGTGGACTGATTTAGTAATCACACACCCATAATCCTGGCACCCTTAATCCCAGTGTTGTACCATGAATCAACCACACACTAGATCCAGCCACCTCTGAAAAAACCCCACCTATGACTGAATGAGGCTTTGGGGGGGGCATCTAGACATAGCTGAAACACTTGGAAAGGGTCCTCTGGGACAGCCTGTCTGGGGCCGCAGCTCAGAGGACACCTGCACAGCAGGGGGCTGGGCTATCTCAAGGTCTGACCTCTCCCCTGCCCTGTGGTTGATACTGACTGTTAAGCTAGGACTCAGCTAGAACTGTTGACCCGGCACCTATCTGGGGCCTCTCCACAGGGTTTGTGTTTCAGTCTAGAAGGGTGGCTCAAGGTGCTGAAGGTATGTGTCTCAACGAACAAGTCAGAAGCTGCAATTCCTCAGGATGTGTGCAATGTTTTTTTTCACTTCTTTTTACTGGTTACAAGGGTTTCACAATCCTAACCAGATACAAAAGGAGGGGAATTCTGGAAGGTTCTCAAAAGGCATGGGATTGGGAGTTAGTGTCAGTCTTTAGAAAACACATCTGGCACGGATGTTCACGGCATCGGTGTTCCTGCTGGACTACCACCCCTCGTCCAAATCCTTTGTGGAGGCAGATACGTTTTGAAATTTAGAAACCGTGGGAGAGGGCCGGGGATTTAGCTCAGTGGCGCCGTACCTATCTTGCAAGCACAATGTTCTGCGTTTGACCCCTGAGTACCAAAAAAAAAGAAAGAGAGAAAGAAAATTCTGGGAGATTTTTCAAAAGTAATATGGTACATTCATTGAATGTTATACTCCTTGAGTTGATGGCTTACCATGTAAGCAAAAATCTAAATACTTCTTGGAACATACGAATATTCAAATTAAGTGAGGTAAAGATGATAAGTAGCTGTCTCTATTCAGTTCTTGTTGCCAAATTGTGAAACAGCTTTACGTTGCAAGGGTGTTTGTCTGTCTGTTTGTTTGTGTCAGGGTCTCTCTATGTAGTTCAGGCTGGCCTTGAATTCATTATGGAGCCCAGACTGGCCTGGAACTCGCAGTGATCCTTTTACCTCAGCCTTCCAAGTGCTGGAATGACAGGCGTGCCTCAGTACACCTGGTTTGGGTTTTCTGTACCTGAAGTTGTGGCTAAGGATCTGCGGACTAGTAACAAACACCCCTATAGCTCAGAGGCTTAAAATAAACTGTTATTTCTTGTTCATGCTACACGTTTATCATTGGCCCAAAGAGGTCAGGAGAGTTTCCTTTCCATTCTGGAACTCGGCTGCTCTGTGGAACATCCATGGTTATTTGGTAGAGCACAGGACTCACAGCTGTTTAGGCTGCTGGCAGGAAGTAATGGCTGCTGTCTCTGCTACTGAGTCTCCTTTTGCCTGAAAGGGGCTGGGAGAAACCACGGTGAACCTCATGTAACTTAGTTGCTCTCTCCATAGAAGTTCTGATGCTGGAAGCACTTGATGGTTCCCCAAGATCTGAGAGTAATTATCCAAAAGCCTATGCTCTGTATCTGCTCGCTGCCTCAGGGAGTCCGAACAGAGAGAGTCACTGTTCTGTGACATTATCTTACTCCGCACGTTTCTGGATTGTGCAACTGTTTCCTCAGGGCGGGAGCCTGGAACCTCCTCCCTGAGAGTCTGAAGCAGTGAACAGAGCACCGTGTTACTGGAGACTCTTACCTGTGGTGGGGGGGAATCCTTTTATTTCTGTTTGGCTTGGGGAAAGCCTACAACTGGATGTTGACAAGCACAGGACACCCAATTTGTGCTCTCCGGAGATTTATCTAGGGAGCTCCCTTTGCCTAGGCTACTCCCCCTTTCTAGAACATCCCAAGGCTCCCTGTGGCCCACAGGAAAAAGTGTAAAAATAGCAGTGAGTCCCACTGATTGAGAATCTGCCTCACGCTAGACACAATACAGACTCACTCCCGAATCCTCATGGACAAACGAACTGTATGACCTTTACCTTACAAATGAGGTCCAGAGAGGGGACTTATCAAGATGAAAGAGTGAGGGCCAGGGAGAGGCAGAACTGGCCGGAGGAAGCCGGATCTGTCAGGCTCTGGGAACCCTGCTGAGCCACAGGGACCCGCCACTCCAGTCTCCTCAGCCTTCGCCCTTTCCTTCACTGCCCAGAGAGCAGCTGCTCAGCCAGGCGGTCCTCCTCTCCCTTCCTTTCCAAGCCCAGTCAGCTTCACAAGATGCCTTTCCCACTGCAGACCACAGCGAGTCCTGCCCTCACCTCACTGTCCTGGGTTTCCTGTCTGTCTTGCTGCTGGATTGCAGGAAACTCCACAGAGTCATCTGTGCATCTGCCAAGGCCCAGCAGGTGCGCAATGCACATCTGCTATTCGTGCATCGTTTCAGCAATTATTGAGCATCCATGGGCCACCAGGCACTGTGCTACATGCAGGATGCAGTAGAGAATGAAACAAAATCAGGGTCCTCACGTTCTGATCTGGGAGACAAAGATGAACAAATAAACATCGAATGTCAGGAGATGAAAAATGTTATGGAAAACCATACAGCTGGGTAAGGGGAGAGAAGGGTGGGGACGGGGAAGCTATGGTGGGGGAAAAGTCTTTTGAAGGAGGTAACATTAAATCAGGTACCAGAGTGTAATTAAGTTTGTTTGACTCAGGAACTGAATGAATGCCTGAGTTGAGATGAAATAACACAGAGATAAAAAGAAAGTGTGGAGGGAGGTTTTTCAGATAGAGACCCTAACATTTTTTTTTCAGGAATCGAACTCAGCACCTTGAACTTGCCAGGCAGGAGCCGTGCCACTGAGCTAAATACCCAGCCCCCTAATATCTTTTGTTTTTCTTCCATTAAAAAATTATTCTTTTGTCTTGTGATTTCAGATGGAGATGCAGCAGAGATTGGTTGTCAGTCTAGATATGAGAAGGCCTCCCTGTCTGTCCACCTAGAATAGACTGGATATTATAGCTCTTATGGTATGACTGGTAATTTTCTTTTTGTCTTTTTGATACAGGGTTTCACTATGTAGTTTAAACTGGCCTCAAACTCACTTTGTAGCCCAAACTGGCCTTGAACTCACAGGGATCCTCCTGCCTCAGCCTCCAGAGTGCTGGGATTATAGGCATGTACCACCACACCCAGACTGATTGGTAATTTTCTTGGTATTTTTGTGCCTATGGAAGAGAATGTCTTTTTTTTAGGATTTGCAGCTCAAGTATTGAGGCATGAAGAGTAAGGTAGAAACTTATTTTTAAACAATTTAGAAAAATATTTTTTATGTATTAATATAGATAACCTGGAAAAAAGGACAACAATTGTTTAATTCAGGTAGAGTATGCAAAGATATTCCTTATTATTTTTTTTTTTTTAATTTTTTGTTTGAAAATGAAAATGACTCTGACTCTGGGGTCAGAAGGGATCATTGTGTTGGCCAAACAAAAAATATTCAGTAAGATCGTTCCAGCTGGTGTGGAATTCTGGTGCAAGGTATTAGCAGTCTGCTCTCTAACCTAATTCCAATCACACTGTGTGGGGTGGGCAGCACTGGTTCCATTTTCACAAGTGATAAAATGGACAGGACCTCAGAGAAGGAAGTGATTTGTGCAAGGTTACACAGCCAGCTGAGTCCAGGCTAAGATCTCAACCTGTATTTATCTAAATCAAAATTCTCTGATTTCCTTTTTTGTTCTTTAAGGCTTCTTCTTGGTTTTTTGTTGTTGTTGTTGTTTTCTTTTTCTTTTTTGGTACCAGAGCTCAAACTCCGGACCTTGTGCTTGCAAGGCAGGCAGCAAAAACATTGAGCTAAATCCCCAGCCCTCTTTAAGTCTTCCTTTCCACCCCATTTCCTAGGGGTGTTTGATAGCCAAGTGCATTTACTAAGTGTCAAGCTTTGCATGTGTAATTCAAATCCTCACAGACAACCTGAAGTGGTTGTTGCAAAAACATTGGGATAAGTTTAAGTAACTAGCCTAAAATCATACAACTAAGAATGGAACAGCTGGGATTCAGAAGCTGGGCAGTCTGGCTCTGAAACCCCCAGAAGGGATGAGGTGAGGTAAATAATCAAGAATCAAGATGCGATACAATTATCTATCAAAACCCTTGCGCTGAATGTAATCACTATGTATTGCAAATATACACTAATAAAAAAATAGTGACCCACTTAATGGGTCTAGAAACAGTGTAAAATAGTGTAAATCACTTTTAAGAATATAAAGCAGGATTATTGCTGGCTCTCAAGGAATTCCGGAAAAGTCCCTGCCCGTGGCTTCTGGTTTTCCAGACAGTGCTTAGTTTCAGATGTGGGTGCATGGGGGGGGTGCTTAGCTCTTCTACTCCTCCGACAGCTCCATGAAGCTGTGGTGGGTGCTACTGCCCCTCAACCTGGATCTATGGTAACTGCTCACCGCCCTCTCAGGACCTCTAGACCAAGGCTCATTTTCGGGTGTTGTTGCGGATATGGCCCCTCATTAAAGTGGCGAGGCAGTTACACTTCAGGGTCAAGGGCCTACCTTGGGGGAGAGGCTGGTTTTGATTAGAGCTCTGGAACTTGCTTTTCCTTCAGGAAACCTCAGTATCCTCATCCGTACAATAACAGCCATCTCAGCATTGCTGGGGGGATTGGATGGGATAAATCAAGCCCAGTATCTGTCAGCGCAAGTGTTCTCATTAACAACTGCTATTCTCTGGGATGGATGTGGATCCCGGCCTTTGGCCTTTTTTAATATCTCAGCCCTTACACCTTCCGGTTCCTTGTCTGGTGGGACTGCTCTTTCCCCAGCTTATTCTACAGTGGGTTCTCACCCTTTTATGTCTCAACCAATACTACCTGCTCCGGAAGGCCTTCCTTGAGCTCTCCAGGCTGCCTCCAGCACATTTTCTTGTTTTATTGTGTTCACATCTGTCATCAGCACCCGGTAGCGTGATTGACTTGTTTCTTTCTCTTCCATATGAATGTTAAATTCCAAGGAGACAGAGATTTCCTTTTTTGTTCTCTGTAGCATTCCGAGCGCCAACAACAGTAACTAAATGGTGATGCGAATAAATGAATGAAAGAATGAATGAGGGTTTCCGTCAGGCCGAGCCTCCAAGGTTTACAGTCCCCGCTCTTCTGCCGCAGTGAGACAGACGGGTCCGACCCGGGAGATGGCCGCGGGCTCCCGGGCCGGGGCACCCGAGCGCCAACCCTACCCGCCTCGGAGAGATCCTTCCCTCAAGGCAGGG